CTGGGCGATAGGGCCAGCTGTCCCCAGCCATTTTTGACTCTCTCAGTAAGTCAGGGTTAAGGCCCGGAAAACAGTGTTTTTGTTGTTGTATCCCAGGGTCATTCTTACTGTCCGTAGTGTATAACATTTGGCGACTCCTGATCTAGTCTCATATCTTAATTTTATTTAATAATCATACATGTAGTTATCCTTTTCCAACCATAAAGAACTTCCCCTCCAATTCTATTTTCCATCTATTCAGTCAAGATAAAGAGATTACAATACATGCTCATGTTCAGAAAATGCAAATGGTCTAATAGCACATAAAAACAAAAAGCAAAAGCATCTTGTATTGCTGGTGAACTCTACCAAAAGGTGACCACTGTTAACTCTTTGTTTGGATGGATAAAAACATTCTCCATGGCCGTGTCTTTACTTTCTAACTACTCAGTGTACGAAATCTGAATAGACAAACCACTTATACACATAAAATAAAAATGCAAATCTTAAAAAGTATTTGGAGTTTGTCAATGTTGGACTATTTCCTCCATCTCCTTCCTTATCTCTCCATCCCCCTCCCCCTTTTTCCCCCCCCTCCCCCCCCCCCCCCCCAGATAATGTCTCTGTGTAACTTAAGCTGGCCTCAAACTTGGGTTCCTCTTGAGGCAGTCTCATTTTCAAGGGCTCCATTTCAAAACACCATAGCTGGGTTAACTTTCTGCCCTCTGGATATCTTGAAATGGAGATTAGATTAACACAGGGATCCTCGGAGGACACAGCCAACCTAAATCTAAACCATAACACATTCCTCATTCAGCCTTATTATTAATGGACCCTTTAGTTGTATCCATTGCTATGGCAGATAATGCAGCAGCATGTCTGTGCATCTATGTTGGGTACTGTACCAGTCCTGGGCATGATGGGTAATGCCTTAGAGTGCTAACAGGGGCCACTGAGTTAAAGGCATTAGGAATGGAAAGCTAGTGGTTAGGGAAGGGAAATGCAGGTGGAATGGTCTTCCCACTGTGCCTCACCCCTGCCCCCTTCTTGCCCAAACATTGACATTTCACTCCCAGCATTCCTCCTTCCGCTTTTACATCACATGTGTTCTATCAGCCTCACCCTTAAAGCCTCAGTTTACCCCTTCCACAGGCTCCTTTCTAGTTTTCTACATATACGTACTTCTATATACATGCAAATGTGTAAAAATTGGAAGCTAGGATCTTCATATTAAGAGAGTGTACACTGAGAGAATACAATGTCTTTCTGAGCCTTGGTTAACCCACTTAGTGTAATATCTCCTGGTTTCACATTTATTCCAGCATATACCATAATTTTGTTTGTTTTGAAAACATTGAATGCAACTCCAGTGTGTAATTACTAACCACTTATGAGATGATGGACATTTAGGCTGGTTCCATTTCCTTGTTATGAGTGTGGCACAGCGACAAACATGGATGATGTGCAAGAATCTCTGTGGCTGGATACACAGTCATTTGTACATATGCCCTGGAGTGGTAGAGCTGGGTCATATGGTAGGTTTTTTTTTTTTTTTTTTAAAGACATTCTCTCCCTGTGTATCCCTAGCTGGCCTGGGGTTCATTATGTAGGTCAAGCTGGTCTCTATCTATTTGCATCATAATTCTTTAATTTGCTTCCTATCTATCTATCTATCTATCTATCTATCTATCATCTATCTATCTATCTATCTATCTATCTATCTATCTATCATCTATCTATCTACCAACCATAGAAGCCTCCAGGCTGGTTTCCATGGTGGCCATACAATTTTAGACTTCCACCATCAGTGAGTAAGGACTCTCCATACATCCTCATCCTCCCAACATTGATTCATTCTCTCTCTCTCTCTCTCTCTCTCTCTCTCTCTCTCTCTCTCTCTCTCTCTCTCTCT